CAGGCGTGTCGACCCTCTTTCATCAAGAGAGCTGAATTCAACTCCAGAAGAGCTCTCCAAGGGCTGCATTCCAGTAGTGGGCAGACCAAAGGCAAAAAGGGTGAGGCAAAAATGCCAGCATACTCTGTCTTAAAGCATTTAGGGCAGTCTGGGAGGGGCAGCTCAACCTTTTGGAAGGGAAAGGGGAAACTGTACAAAAGCCAGAAAATGACCCATGGACAGGTGGTCCAGGCAGAGAGCCAGACCAGGGAAGATGATGTAGATTAGGACCCCAGATTTGGCCTGCAATATTCCTGCTTTAGGTTGTCTAGTCCCAAGTTGAATGGCTTGTATTTTTGTTAGTTTCATTTTGCTTTTCAGTCAAACACAGCACCATGAATTATACCTGGAACTAAGTGGGAAGACAGTCACTGTTATTGAGTTATGTTCCGTCTGCCCAGTACCAGCCAATCCCCAGATCACTGTATTCAAAACTAGTGAAGTTGCTGAGTGTCCAGCTAGAGGTTGTCCACGTAAAATACCTTATGGTAACCAAGCCTGGAGCAAAGCATGTGTTACTGTGGCTGAACCCACTGTATCCAAGAGGAGCTACAGCTAGAGAACGCTCATGGCACAAATATCATGTGGCATCCACGAGAAGCAATATAAAGTTGGAACTGCCAGGAACATTAATGCAGCCTAGGAGGCACACAACCATCAGCAACACTGACACCAAAAGCAAGGAAAATTTGCAACAGACGTTCTGAAATACTTTACAGCAGAGGAGATTGTTTGCAGGTTGCTTCCTCCTTAGAATTGGAGTAATTGCTGGCAAGTTGCTCTGCTAATTCCCCAGCCGTAACCACCTGGGACCACAATCTGAGTGGCTTTTCCTTAGAGCTAGAGAACCAAGGGGTGGCACATGTCAACCAACTGTGTTGTCTTCACATTCCTAAACAACACACTGTGTGAGAGACGATCCCAGTTCTTGCATGCAGGGAAGGAATCAGAGCAAAAACGGCGCCAGCCAAGAGGCTTTTCCGGTGCATAAGCAGCTGTGGGGAGGCAGTCTCCGAACTGCCCCCCAAATGACCTCCACTGTCACTTTCCATGGGTGAGGTAATTACTGTAACTCCTCTTTTAGATCAGTCTTTAGGTTGCTTATCAAAGGCTGCCAAATGATATGAGACAACTTTCAAATACAGTTGGCTTCCACCACAGAGTAAGCTAACCTCACTTCAGACATTCAAATAAGAGTTTCAGAAATGAGAAATACAGCTCTTTTCATTTGGAAGTTTCAGTATGAGTACAACCAGCACTATCTGTTACCTACCAGTAGGTATATTTATATGGGGTGAAGCGAAGGCATCAAAACAACTATCCTTCTATCTGTGCTAGAGCAGGTATCTACTCATTGAAAAATAAATAGCACTAACCAATTTAAAATTAATTGAACAGCCAATTAAACAGTCTCAACCCATACTGGGTTGAGAGCATATTGAAAGAGAGCATATTTCCGCATGAGGAAGGAGAAAGCCCTTTCGAAAGCTACTGCCTACAGCGCTGCAATGTGAAGGGGTCAGGTGGCACGGTGAGGTCCTGACCAACACTAGCACGGCAACAACTGCCCACACAAGTGGATAATCACAACCATATCACAAAATATAAACCTCTGCCACCCTGGCATTACCCTCATCCCTTAATGCACTGAAAACATAAGTTGACATCTTGGGGGGGGGGGGCTAAGGACCCCTCTTGATGGTCATAAGCCCTGCACCTAAAGGCTTACAGCCACAATATATAGGGGAATGAAGAGTGGCAGAGGTCATCTTCACCTCCTATATCCTGCCCTACCTTGCTGGTAGATTGTCTTTTTGCCCATCTTGCAAAATATTTCAGAGGGAGGAGGAAAGAGGCTCTGTAGAATCTCCCTCCCACCAAAACAATTCCTTTCCCAAGGGGCCGTGGGACTGCTCCTTCTGCCAATAAATGAGGTCAAAGGGTGTGTGACAGTATAAAAAGTAGACAAGCCAAACTCCAAGTTTTACTTGCTCACAAACACCATTTCTGAATACACGTATATGCTAGTATTTTCAGTTAGGAACCAGCACTGGAGATGTTGCTCCTGCTGATCATGATGATGATGATGATGATGAATCAGAGCAGCACAGGAAGCTGCCTTATACAGAGTCAGATCCATGCCCACCTAGTTCAGCACTGTCCACGCATCTGTCTCATCCAGAGACTGAAGAGGGGACCTTCTGCATACCAAGCATGTATTGGCCGACAGAGCTGAGGCACCCCCCCACAGCATTCTCGCTGTGCACTTCACTATGTACCACAAGAAAAAAAAAACAGCATTAACAGTTGCCCCAAGGAGCTTACAATGTAAACAAAGGAGAGAGGTGGCAGGGTGGCAATGGATAAACACCAGCAGATGCAGTGCACGCAAAGTCACAATCATAAATTCCCTGTGGAGCAACGGTGCGGTAAATGTCTTTTCATGAAGTGGAAGCACCTCAAAAAGCAACAGAAAGCTGCCACTCGGTAATGTCCTGCCTTTTTTTGGCAAATCTTTTGCTTCTAAAGATTTTTCTGCTTTTTCACCATAATTACTTTGCAAGTGTAAGGGCTGGAATGCATCCATGCCTTATAGAGCAGAGTATATTCACATGTGGGTTTGCAATTTAATATGCCAAGGTTCCTCAGCTTAGAGCCCACCAGATATGTGGGGTTGCAACTCCAGAATACCTGGAAAGCCATACCTTATAGAAGGCTGAAATGTGCAGTATGAGGAATGCTAATATGCAGCAACTGAAATGTCATCATATTATCATCTGACACAATGTGAGAGGGAGAGGAGATCGAGGAGCAGATATAAAATCAATTTTATTTATTCATTACATTTTCCCTCAAACCAGCGTACATTGTCCTCTTGAACTGTTTTTATCCTCACAACAACCTTGTGAGGCAGATCAAGCTGACAGTCAGTGACTACATCTCATCCAGTAAGTTTTATGGCCAAGTGGGGCACAACCCAGAGGACCCCAGTCCAACACTCCAACCTCTACTTCACTCTGTCTCTGAACATGGTTTGAAACCTTTGGCCTGCAGGTGTGTAGGGAGGTAGGGAAAGAGAAGAGAGCTTGTTATTCCAGTCTTCTGCCAGGATCTCTAGTCATGGGGGAGCATGGAATTTATTCGCAGTTGGTATTCAGTAGGAACATTCAAACTCTTTATACCCCATGGGACAAATTCCACTTTGCAGAAGCTCTTAAGGGGCCATATTCCAATGGTGGAAAGTACTATATGCAAAAAGGATAGGGACAAAATTAGGAACATGTCTGAGCTGGAAGCTCTTATGGCCAGTAACTAAGACTTACAAGAGGCATTTCAGTCTCTGAGAAGGGACAGACAACACAAAAACCATGGAATTCCTCAAACAATCTAGAGCTGGAGAAAACCATGCGAAATCTCTGTCACCTTGGGGACAGAATTTGCCCCCTCGGTCTGCAGTTCTGCACCTTAAGTACACAGCAGTGGCTACATGACAGCCCTGAACATCCCCTGTGCACACTAAGATGCTACCCCAGAATGCTCCCTAGAATCCTCTCCAACATTCCCGTGGCAATTCTGTGGCTGATACCCCAGGAGGAGCAAAGGCGCCTGACAGCAGCCAAAGCAGCAACAGCACCATGACCATGTAGAAAGCGGGCAGGACATTCTGAACCTACAGATCTTTGGTTTTCGCCTAGCCCTACATTTAATTTTTTCATGGTTCACATGGCCACAATGCCTTTCAAAATTCTTTACCCAAAAAAGGAAAGCAAAAAGCTGGCACAAGTGAAAAGAAATGTATGTTATTGAGAAATGGAATTTCTCTCTGGAAGGCACTAATTCAGTTAACAGAGGGTATATACATTAAAACCTTCCATGAATACAACATAAACCCCTTCCTTATCTGCTGCTGAAAGGACCAGTACTGAATCATGCTCTTAAAAGAGAAACAGCAAATTCAGCAAGCTGACTAGAAAGGAGCTTCCCTTTTGAAAGTGATGTTCTCTTAATGGCCCTTTTCAGGTAGCAGAGAATTGGCAAAAGGTAACAGAAGCATCTTGATTGTTTTTAATCAAGGGGGATTACATTAGTGCAGTCACTCACAAAGGAACTGGGGCACTGTAACTTCCACTGCTGCTCCTCATAAAGCAGGAGATCTCATTCTGGGATCAGATTTTCCTAGTGTGTACCGGTGGGGTGAGGGCAGTTCTAATAATGACGTTTCTGAAAGTTCAGCTGTAAAGAAAGACAGAAAATAAGATTTTTTTGCTAACTGTACCTCTTTCAGCCTGAGGGCCAAATTCAGAGATGTTCTTAGGGGTCCTCCTTCCAATGGTGGATAGAGCCAAACAGAAAAGAGCAGATCCAAAGTCAAAAGGGGTGTGGAGGAAATTTTTTTAGCTTAAAGCACATTTTAGCTTAAAACTTATAACTACTGGTAACTAAGCCTTAGGAAAGGCATTTCAGCCTACTAGAATGGAAAAGAAACTGTAAAACACAGAACCACTGAAATACCAGCAAAGGAAGAGTGGCTTGGAAGCAAGAGAATGGCTCACGGAGGCTGAATTTGGTCCATGGATCTGAGATTCACCTCTGTTATACAAATACATCATAGGAAAATAAAAGAGAAGACCTGATAGATCAGACCAAACAATCCTCACAATCCTTATTCAGCAGGCATCTCCATTCATGCATAGCGGTAAAAAGCCATCAAAAGCCTGGTTCATATTTCCATGCTGTAATGTAATGCATGGTTTCCTTTCATGATAGCTCTTAAAGGCCAAAATATAGATGAGCAGGTTAAATTTCAACAACTACAAAAGAAGTCATTTAAAGACAACTGCAATATTCTATACATTGGACATAGAAAGAAATTCATCCTCGGTCTAATGTGGTATTACACAACTATACCAGTCTCCCCCATCAATGAAAACAATATAATAATAATCACTGAGTGTCCTTACCAGAACCACTCTGAAACCCCACAAAACTGTGATGTGGCAGCAGTGCAGCCCTTGGTATTACACCACCTGTAACACAAACCACACGATGATACTTTCTGTCAATGCTGGATTTAAAAGGGAGATGGGGGAAATGATAGGTCTGATAACAAAACTGCACATGAACTGAAGTACAACTCCTCACCATGTTATGCCACAAAGCAACTGCATTACACAAGACAAATACTGCAAATCAAAACCTATCCTCATTGCTCGGGTTCACTTGATTCACCTTTCTGAATTTTTCTTGTTGGATGCATTTCAGGTTTTGCAAGGGGAAAACAATTTCCAGTTTCTTGTCTCTGTAGAAACTTTCAAAAAGTTGATACAATTTACTAGCAGTTCTACTAACACATGACTGCATTTTGTTGATATGAAGTCAATCCATAATTTATTTCTTGAGAAAAAAGTGTCTGTCTGGAAGCTACATCCTCCTTCCTGGTTTTGTTTTCTTGCAAGTGTATGAAGTACATGCTCCTGTTCAGTTCAAGGACAGCAGCACAGAGATCCAATTTTATTTATTCACTGGTATCGATGGAACTCTGGCCAGGATACAATTAACACAAGCAATTCAACAACAAAGCACAAAACAGCAATACACAATCCAGTATATAGTCTCTGCAAAGGTACATGAGGACTGGATGTAGGCAAAGAAACTCAAAATCTTGGGTAAATAGCCAGGTCTTGAATCTGTACCCGCCAGGCCTCTGGGTGGGAAGCATCCCATGACCAAGGCACCACAGCCCAGAAGACCCTTAATGCACAGATCACTTCTAGCAAAGCAAGAAATGCTTCAAAGAAGAAAGGGCAAGGTGAATATGAGAGGAGATGGTTCTTTACATATCCTGTATCCTTTTATGTACCATTTGAGACAGGATTCAAAGAGAAACAGCTGAGTTCTGGCGCCTACTGTCAGGGTGGGAACAAGTGGCAGCTACATCTTGTGAGTTTTTGAATGCACCAGACCAGCCTTCATCACTGACTATGACTGATGAGAGTTGCGATCCAAGAACATCCAGAGAGCCAAATATTCACCAGTCCTGCTTCTGAGGAACTGCTTTGAGTGCAAGTCAAGGAGGTGGGTCAAAATCCCCTGCTTGATCCTTGAGTTCTCCATGAGAATCCTCTAAGCCTAGGCTTACGGTGCCATCATTTTACACTTCTAGGCAGGTTAATATGATCGACTATGGCACCCAGTTATACCTATGAATCAGCAGGAAGTTCAGTCTAGCCAAACACCACAACACATTGCTGAATTGTTCCCAGCCCCAGAATTTGGCAGGAGCCCACAATAACCTCCTGGATCATAACCAATGGCTTGATTCAGACATCCTATTTCCAGTCATACAAATTATGGTTTCTTGGAACATTAATAGGCAGGGAACTGAACTGCTCTCTCCACCCTTTGCATTGACTAGCAAGCTACCTGGTTTGTTAAGCCAGTTTTTCAAGACATCAGGAAACTTAGTATATGCTCTGAACAAACCAGCATTTCTTTGTAACTTATAGTTTGATTCTAGTCTTCTGTAAAGCTGCGGGTGGAAGGGGCTTGTCATTATGCTCCTCATCTAATAAAACAATAGGTTTTTTTTGGATTGGTGAATGTCTGAATGAGACCAATGTTTTAGAAGAGGATGTTAAATTATTAGTGATATGCAGTGGGAAACACCAGCATGCATTTAATTAACATCAGTTCTGAAAGATCCATGACTACTAATTGGCTGAAGGCCCTGAAGGCCCAGAGGAGCTGAAGTTCCACACTGCTTCAAACTTTGATGGATTCAGAAAATGCATGGAAAAATAGGAATGCTGTGCAGTCCTCTTGATAATATACCTTCAGAACAGGGATAGAAGTTTAACATGATGGACATATCATGTATTTTATGGGTAGCAGGTAAAGGTGCAAGTCTCCATCCATGTTATGAAGCTGCACACTGCCAGTAAGGACTTTACCACTTGTTAGGCTCTAATTGGTAGACAGAAGTTCATGGGGAAAATGGATGGCATTAAAAGAGCTGATGACTTTTCATGATATAATCTCATGGATCAGTACTAATGAGAACTGCAATGACTATGACTAGGATGTCTGTCTGTCTGTCTATCCGTCTGTCTTTCAAATGAACACTGGAACGCCTGGCATCCAACAAAAGCCAATAAGCATTTCAAAAGTTCCAGGACGTGCTGGCTAAAGAAACACAGCTCACTCTTGTCCTGGAAAAAGACCTCACTTCTCTTACGCATCAGACACAGAGAGAATAAAATCTTACTAAAAACAACAACAAAATAAGCACTTGCCTGTACTGTGAAGTAATCCTAGCAATTCCAGCACAATGTCCTATTGACAGCAGGCTTTCCCCTGCCTAGTAGAATATTCATTTTAAAGTTTTAAGTTAACGTTTAAATTGTTGTTTTGTTAAGCTTCATAATTATTTTAATTAACTTATACAAAAAGTCTCATACTTGACCAGTGTAAAACTAACATCAAGCAGCATCCCTTACAAAATAAACCAAACAAGAGTCAGTGCAGCATAGTGATTAGTGTTGACTGGGTACCCAGGATATCCAAGTTCTAGTCCCCACCTGGCCATGAAATCCACTGGGTACTTTGAGCCAGTCTCTGGCTGTCTGCCTAACCTACTTCACAGGTTTGGTATGAGGATAAGATGGGGAGGCAGTGGACTCTGGAAGGTGCCTTAGGTTCTTTGCAGGAAAAAAGGTGGGATAGAACACTAATAAATAAATAGGAATAAATCCACATGGTATGATGTCCCTTGCTAGACAAATCTAGGCTACATCTCTTCAAGTGTACCTGAACATTCACCTATTGCTCCATAATCCATATAGTCAGTATTGATGGCAGTGTGTTCCCCAACCTCTTAAAGGAGCATCTGTTTTCTCTGGTTCTTTGGTTGTAAATGCTACCTCACTGGTTAGATTGTGTTTGGCAGTTCACCATGAGAGACTGGCATGTATGCCCTGGGGGATTATCAGTTTTTTCCGAATGGGAGTCTTTGCATGGCCCGCAAAGTACAGATGAACTACAATTAGAACGGATGCAGACTTAGTCTTGTGAAGTAGGTTACTGCCCTGGTGACTGCCATTAGTCCCAAAAGATGCTGTACCTTTCTCACAGAGGTGTACTGTTCCATCTGGAGCTGTTGAGCTAGCTTTTGCAGGACTGCTGCTCTGTTTCTGGGCAGGTAAGCTCCTGCTGTCACTGAGTCCAGGATTGCTCCAGTTTATAGTATCACCTGAGAGGGTAAAAGCAAAGGTTTTTCTTTATTAAAACAAAGTCGTAGTCTTTCTAGTAGTTTGCATCTGGTGGTGATGGAGTTTTGTAGCTCCTCTTCGGATAGAGCAACAAGCAGCTATTCATCTAAATATGGGAATATTTGAATTTCTTCCATCTGGAAGTGGATGCACACTACTGCCATACATTGTGTAAAAACTCCGGGTGCTGTGGAAAGGCTGAACAGTATAACTGTAAATTCAAAGATATTTGTTCCAATTTGGAAACAGAGAAAATTGCAATAGGTCCTGGTGGATTGAAATATGGAAAGATGTGTCTTTCAGCTCAACCAAGGCAAACTAGTCTCCTTGACATAGTAATGGAAGTATAGTCTGTAATGAGACCATGCAGAATTTTCTTAGTGAAATGAAAACACTGACTTCATGCAGGTCCAGAATTGGTCAAAGACTGCCATCCTTCTTAGGAATGGTAAAATACCGTGAATATAAACCATAACTCTGATTAGTGCTAAGAACAGTCCAGCTCGCCCCTTTCTTTAGGAGTGTGTTCACCTCCTCAGCAATTTCTAGGGTTGGGGTTGCTAATATAGATGGATCCTAGTGGTGGGAGAGTGACTAATTCAACGCAGTATCCTTGTTGAACCATGGATAACACCCACCAGTCCAATGTTATGGCTTCCCTTTTGGGAAGGTAGATGTTAAGGCCGTCTTTAAAACGTATTTGTCCTGATAGTTGAGGACTGGTTTGTGACATGAATCAGCATGACTGTGGTTGTTGCAGATGGTTTGGATGGAACTGCTGGTGATTATGTGAGCTAGATGGTGCCCATGGTCACTTATATGTTCTTGGTGGGTATGGTGCCGAGAATCCTATTCTCCCGGCTATTAGTTGTGCCTTTTGTATGCTGTTAAACTTTTTGTCTGTTCTTGCACTGAGTAGTCCCTTCCAACAAACTCTTCAATTCTAGACTGTGCCTCCTGAAATAGGATTGACACTCTGAGCTATGTGTGCCTTTGTATTGCCACCGCTCCTGCCAAGGCCCTAGAGTAGCAGTCCGCATGGTGATGCACCATGTTAATTTGTTGTTTTGATAGCCTGATCACCACTGCTTGGAACGCCCTTTGTCGGTCGGGAAGGAACTCGGCTAGGGTGCCCATTTTCTCCCATAGGAAAACTGGATATCTTCCCGTGGTAGCTTCACAGTTGGACTCTCTTAAGTCAGTCCCATTGCAGCATATATTTGCCTAGCCATGCCATCAAGATGTCAGCCCTCTCTGTCTGATGGGGTGGTGTGTTGTCTGTTTTTCTCACCTTGTGCTGATTCTACTGTGGAAGAGATGGTGGAAGAGGAATGGTATATCCTTCTCCTGAGACTCTCTAAGCGACTGGATGTTGGTTGCGGTAGTGCTGGTGCCTTCCATGGATCCTTAACTGCGTGTAGTAGTGTTGGTAAGAACGGAATGGCAACTGACACTTGTCCTTTGTTTGGGACTACATCATAGACTGGATCTGCTGGTGGATCCATTAATTGTTGAGTTTCTATTTCTAACAACATAGCCATCCAGAGCCATCTGGAGGACTTGCTCAAAGAACTTCCCCAGGTTTTCAGAGGGGGACCCTGGTCCTTGTGCCAAAATGATAACCTCTGAAGATGTTGAGGCTCAGTCATCATTAATTGGTTGGTGGTCAAAGACAGACATATAGTCTACAAGTTCAGAAGTAGTGAACCATTGTGATGGCGAGGAACCTTCATGGAGCTGATTGTGGTTTGACAGGTATAACGATGGAGGCTGACAATGATGGGGTCCGTGGTGCTGTTTGAGTTATGGTTGATGGTCTTATCAGTGCTGCTGGTGCTCTTAGGTGCCCATGGGTTAGTCACATAGTATGGTGACCACTGGTAGTAATGTGGGTCATTAGTGCACAGTTCTGGATACAGTGAATAGAATGGTGCACGAAAAGGTTTGGTCAGTTGTGGTGGTCAATAGTATCTGGTATCCCATGATGGCTGGGGGTCTTCAGACGATCCATTGCATGGCAACTAGATGCACAGGATGCTGCTGGTGAAAATATCCCTTGCAGTGGCCTGATCAGCGAGCTCGGAGTAGGGAGAATGGGGGGCTCCTGACATAGTGTCATTACAGATGGTATGATGAGCCAGCTAGTAAACAGGGACAAGGATCCCGGCAGTGAGGAGAGCTGGTTCACTTTTTGGTCTTATCTTTGCCTTTTTCCCCCCCGTCGAATGTTTTGTGGCCATTTTTTGGTCTGTTTTCACCATTTTTAGGCCCCTCCTCATCCTGCGCAGTTTTCAGTTTAGAGTGCACAGGCTTAGTAGCCCCAGCCACAGCTGATGGAATGTGAGGAGAGTGAGCTGCCTTTGACAGTTTTTGGCGGCTTAGCGGCATTTGAAGTAGCTGTCTGAGCTGCTATTAATGTTCTGCTCCACATTTCTGTCTTAAGGCAACCAGCCCTGTTTTTCCACACCTGCTTAGTGAAGGCTTGGCAATGTGGGCATGCGCCCATTATGTGGTTTTCACCCAGGCAGAATAAACATGGAGAATGGCCATTAGTAGATGGCATTCTTATGTGTCTAATAGCTGTCCTGAAGGCCATCAGGGGTGAGGGGTGGGGAAACAGTGTAAAGTAGGGAGGGTGGAAGTTTATGAGGAGAGGACTGAAGGCGGCAGTGCCTGCTGCTACTTCTTCTTCTTTGGAAATAGAATGAGGTTGAGGAAAAGATTGTTGAAAAGGAAGCTCTTAGAAGAAGGGATTAAGTTTAGAAAGGGAAAATAGGTAAAAGAGAGGTATTAAGTGTGAAAAGATCGCTAGAATAGCGACTCTAGGCAACCACAGCTGCGGTTGACAACAAACTGGGAAAATGGCAGGAAGGGAGGGTGTGGATCCTACCAAAAAAGCTAGAATATTCTATGCAACAATAGGCACTGTGGAGGCACACAGCCCGTGTGTGTGATGCACAGAGACCACAAAGAACTCTCAGATTTGTTTGTGTTCTGTAAATCTCCATATTTGCAGAAAAATTACGGAATATGGTAGGAGGCATAAGGTTCAGCTTCCTCAGAATTTCCACTTCCATGTTTTGAACAAGCAAGTGTCTAAGTTTTATGGGAACAAAGAAATGCTTGAATGTATTAATAATAATGCCTGCTGATATCTTGCAGACCCGAAAAGTGGGTGAATATTTTCAGTGCTTGGAGCAGAGTCCTTACTAGCTTCCTCAAAACTTGCAAAATTAGAATGGATTATGTAAAATAAGATGCTCAATGTGATTAATCTGTGCAAAAAAATTAGCTTTTATGCACTCAGAATATGGACATTCATCTTTAATTTTTCTCTCTCTCCTTTATGGATGGCACAAACTGAGCCCTGCCAAATTTTGCTTGCCTGTGGTTAAAGCAGGTAATTTTATCTGATGCAATCCGTGTATGATCAAACTGATTAAGATTATAAAAATGCTCCTGACAGGTATTTTAGCTGTGTTTACAAAATTAATACATCTTCAACCTGAATGAGAGTTGAGGTTTTGTTTTAAATTAATGTTATTGTTGGCAGCATGACTCTTCTACCTCTTTGAGCATAAGCCTCCGTAAAATGTAAATGTTGCTTTTCAACTGAACACAAAGGTATTCTCTCAGGTTTCCACGTTTCTTCAACATCTCCTACTTTTCCCATAGTTATTTTCTCAAAATATTTATAAATATGGCCTCATACAGAGTCTAGATTTCATATACGGGGGTACACCACACAGAGATTTCTTAATGTAAAAGTGTAATCCAGTATCCACAGTGCACTGCCATGAATTTTTTCAGAAGCTTTCAGAAAAGGCATGAGTGCATGGTGTGTGCGCTCAAGTATACCTCCTAAATATCAGGGAAAGTGGGAGGAAGTACAGATTAAGGGGAAGAAAGGAAAAACAATGTTTGCAGGGATTTTAGGTCTGGTATTTGTTCAACACTGGCTGCCTGTAATGACAACCAATGGGTTATTTAACCCTTCAACTGCTTGGTGTGAGCAAGCATGCTGCTCTCTGTTTTTTTTTTTTTTTTTTTTGCCTTTGTACAAAAGAACTCAGTGACACCATTCCTAGTTGATGCTCTGTGACATGCAAACTCAGAACTCCAGGGAGAGCCAGTGCAGAGTAGTAGTTAAGAATGCAGGACTGGGACTCTGGTGATCTGGGTTCTTGTCCCTCCTTTGGGCCAGGCACAGACACTCAGCCCAACCTACCTCACAGAGTTGTTGTGTGTGGGGGAAACAACCCAGATTTTCAAACTAACAATAAAATTTATTATTTATTAGAACATTTCTATGCAGGTTAAATACAGGTTAAAACTCTGGACTGTTTCCTCTTCAACAACTAAGAGTTCCAGATTTGCACGTCACGATGAACATTCCAGAAACATTGCAAAGCAGATGCTAACTGGAGGTGGTGAGCAGGGAGCCCCAAATACCTGTGGGTAGTTTAACTGGTAGTTTATCATGACTTGCAAACCAGGTCCCATCTTTATGGTCTTTTATGTGCAATTCTACCATATGAGAGAATGTATCAACAATTCAGGAAGATGAAACAATTTCTTGTTAAGAAAATACCTTGGGAAAGGGACAGTGACACGTCATTGTGGCTCCCTTTGCGCCTTCCCATCCTGGCCCCAATTTTTGGCAGCACCAAGAGTTCTGCCACGCAGAAGCAGCCTCCTCGAGCCAGATGTGAAGGACCAGAGGGGCATGTTACGGGAGAGGTTAAACTGAAACCAAGCCCTGATGCCAATCCTGAACCAGACTGAGCACATCTACTGGGACATCCTGCCCCAAGCCATATACTTGCAAGAAGTTAGCCTCCTTCTACCTGATGGGCCTTCCACTTCCTAAGCAACACACCAAGCAAGAACTGTGCAAGAGCTGACATGCCCTGGGCTCCAGCCCAGAGGGTTATACCCTGCAGAAAGGGTGAAGAGCTCAGAAGGAGTGACTATAAGGCCT